AAAACAACCACACCCCAATAACAGCACACCCACACGCGCCGGGCCAGGGGGCCGGGTGGGGGACTTTTTAAAAACCCTTTTTTTTTTTTTTTTTTTTTTTAATACAAGCGATAGTCTTGAAAAACCTTTGCTTTAATCCAATATATATAGGGTGGTTGATGATTCCAATTTTGATGCAGGAGAAGGCTAGTGGCATGATGGACCAGATGAGCAATGCTGCCCAATCTGCCAAGGAATCATGCCAAGGGGTTAGAAATTTTTTTATTTTTTTATTTATAAATTTAAGAATTTTTATATTAATTAATATATGCACCACATTTATTTGTGCATGTTGTTAATAGCTTGTGTGTTTTGCTTTGCAGGCTGGTCAGCAGATGAAGGACAAGGCACAGGGAGCAGCTGATTCTGTCAAGGATGCAGTTGGAGCCAACAAAAATTAAGCTGATCTCATCCAAAACTAGTTTTGGTGTTCCTGATTTCTGTTTTTGTTTGGTTGATCTTTCTTGACTTGTCATTTGGAGCAAGAACAAAGTCTGATCATGTAATCACTTCAGAGAACATTAAGCTAATAATTTCGTTGATTTTTGTCTACTGTTACATCAGAATATTTGATATTGCAATCACAATTGATTGTTACCAACCAAATGAACAATCCATCCCAACTCACAGAGGCAAATCATGTTTGGCCACATAACATCAACATAAAGTTTATTTATATACATTTTTTTAATGCCAGATGAAAGTGAAAACACCACCCAGTAATAGCAATCTGAATGGGAGCTAATTGAACAAGAGCTTCAGCCAGAGTAAGAAAAAAGAAAACGAAGGAAAGACACAAATACTCTATCAATAGGAATAGTAATTTTCCCACGGGTAAGGTCTTCGTGAGCATACTCATTCGCATAATCCATAACCGATCCAAGAACGTAACATAAAACCATTCGCAATAGAATTGCCCTACATCCATTAATTGGCATAGCACCTAAGGAATCACACAAGAAGAAGAAGGAATATTTTCTTATCTTTCTTCATCATACACTTCACCCTAAAGCAGCCACAACAATATTTTCCAATTCAGCCAGGTATGCCTCCTTCTTCACCAAGGTATATGTTAATGTTATGGGTTATAATTTTCTATAAGAAAAGAAAATCCAAATTAATTAGTTTAGTTTAACACATTTTAATTTAAAATTTCCAACCAAATTGATGAAAGAAACAACGAGGAAGATATTGGAATTGACCTCTTCTTGCAAAGAAGTGATAGTATGTAGCAGCAGAGGATCAACCATTTATTTAGCAGACATTTCTTGAAAGGAAGGGTTAGAGATGGAGATGGAGTAGGGTTTTTTGTTTTTCGAATATTGAGAGTAGGATTTGAGACTTTGAGTTTCTTTCTTTTGGAGTACTCCTTCCTACGAGTATCAACACATGTAGAGATACTCATTCTCAAGAGTATCAACTTATATAACAGGCTATCATGAAGTTAGATGTGTCTTGCATAGGTTGCGTTATAAGAAACAAGGTATAGATTCATATCGTTTCTCACGACGATGTTCCCCTAGCTCCACCAAGTAATGATGCGGCTCACAGAATTACACAAGTTACAATGAAACTGTTTCCCATTTGTATATGACCTATATACTGGATTCCTTTCAAACAACAAATATATATATTTTGGATTTATGTTAATTTAGCGCCTAGATAATCACACAACTAGAGAAAATCTTTTTTCTTGAGCATACTCTTCCTCATGCTGAAACTCATCCATATCCTCTATCAGTATTAACAACACAGAACAATCCTATTAAGATAAGAAAATTGAAATCATAATTAATAACAAAACATCATTTACCTGACTAACTAAGAGATGAAAATAGTGTTTCAACACTTCAAACTCAACTTTCACCACTCGAAAGTTGTCACACACCATGATAGATGTGTCATTAATTTCCAACAATTGTAGATAAATATGAGTTTCCTGAAACCATATTGGACATATACCTCTTTAAGGAATGTGGCCTTGATTATAACATTTTCCTTTATTTGGTGGTTTGGATAGCCTTTCAGATTATGACACTCCTTAATCATTGCTAGGCCTCTCCGGCTAATGACAAAGTAAGTACTTCATTTGCAAGTCCTTAGTTGCTTCCTTAATGTCAAGAGACACACTTTACAATTCGACTTTAATCATAGCTAAGTGCTCCACACTGGCTCCCAACACCTTATGTTGCTCACTCTCTTTTTTCCCCCTCAACAAGTCACCAACCAGCCTTACAAAGCTTCCTCCAGAAGTTACACTATTGGATGGTACTCAAGCCTGCACATGTTTGAGTATACTCCTCCTCATGTTGAACATCATACATAGCCATATTTCCCAAGTTTTCTATCGGTATTAACAACACAGAACAATCCCATTAAAATAAGAAAATTAAAATCATAATAAATAATAAAGCATCACTTAGCTGACTCACTATGGGATGAAAATGGTATTCCAACACTTCAAACTTATCTTTCACCAACTGGAAGCTATCCCATAGCATGATAGATGTGTTAATCATTTCCAACAATTACTGATAAACAAATGCGAGTTTCTTGAAACCGTACTAGACATGGATCAACTCATACAACAGGACATTGCCATCGTGAAGTTGGATGTACCTTACATGAGTGGTGTTGTAAGAAGAAAAGCTATATCATATAGGAAATTTGATCAAACATAGGAATTTTAACTCATAACCAAGAAAATTAAAATTCAATAGAAATCCCAATGTGTCTTAAACTAATGAAGCCACAAGCTAGATAAAATATAAATCACAAGACATTCTTGAAACCGATTAGAATATAATACAGAAAATCAAAAGATAGGTGCAAGAAATTTCTATTT